CGCCCGTCGCCTACAACAACTACGTTGACTACCGCGACCTGTCGTGGGTGACGCCCGCGGGAGACTACAATGAGCGCAGCATCGATGAGTGCATCGCCGCCCGCACCCATCGCTCCAGGACGCCCACAGGGAGAGCTCCTCCAGCGGGTGGAGAGCATGACCCAGGAGAGCTCCTCCTCCTCCTCTCCTCCGCGTCCTGCTCCACCGCTCGTCCCCCACCCCCGCCCCCTCCGCATGCCAAGTTGGAGCCCATCTACGCCCGCTCCACCAAGATGAAGAAGACCGCCAGCGCCCCTGGCGGCCTCGGAGCTCAGCCTCAGGGAAAGGACCCGCTCAATACTTCGACAGGCACCTACGAAGTGACGTGGCAGTTCGGCCCTCTGCCTCCTCTTCCGCCGCCACCTCCCCCTCCACCTCCGCTCAAGCTCTCCGCCCACTCCACCTCCACCCCCTTTTCCCTTTATACCAGCATGGGCCCTAAGGCAAGTCCTCGGCCATCTTCTCTCGCCAGCCAGCCCGCCAGTTCCTCAAGCCAGCCGTGCCATCCGAGCAACCCAACGTCCAGTGCCAGCAACCAGATACCTCGACTCGGCAGCCAACCATCCTATTCCACAAAGCGCGCGTTCCATTCCACCAGCCACCAAACGCGGTCCACAGACCCGCGTTCCCATTCCACCCAGCCGTCCCAGTCCACTTGCACCACCAGCCAGTCATCGTGCGCCACAGACCACATGTGTCTTTCCAGCCAGCCCTCCCCCCATCGAAGCAGCCCCCCCGTCCACCTCCCAAGCCAGCTCCTCCCGCAAGCCAATCCTCCAGCGCTCGCCCACCCCTTGCCCCCCAGCCTCGCAAGCAAGTCCACCAACAAGCAACCCAGTCATTCCGTCGCCAAGCCCTCCCGGCCGGGCGACGGGCATCCTCCTTCAGCCCACATTCACAATGTCGACCCAAGCAAACTGCCTCCCCGCCCCCTCCCTCTCCCCCTCCCCTCGTCCCTGTCCGGACGACAAGCAAGCGGCCAAGCGGTTTGCCAAATTTCCCGTCAACCGCGTCTTGGAAGCTGCCGGCGATACGTTCGCGAAAGGAGACGGATAAGAAAGCAGCTCGTAATTCAGACAAATGTAACAAGCAAGCTGACGCCCCATTTTGTGAACAAGACTCGCAGAATTACGTAGACGTTCGCGATGCTTCGGCTCTGTGCGGGCTGGTGGTGAGGGCGGGGCTCAGCACTCACGACTCGGCCGTGGGGACTTCGGGCAACGTCACCCAAGGCCCCGGGGATGGCTCCCACGAGGCAGCCTTTGGCCCGAGATTGCCCCTGTGTGCTTCCAAGGCATCCTCAGCCTCACACATGGAGGGAAACGTCTACCGAGACACCAGTGATAACACGGGGACCGGACCGTACTCGCACGATTTCGAGGCCCTCAGCTTGGACTCGACATCGGCTTCGTGGCGGTGGTGCTCGACGTCCAAGGAACGAGTGCGAGCTCCCTCGTGCGGAGACTATGAGGACATGTACTCCAACCACATGAGTTCCGCGGCATACGCCATGGCCAGGACGCCCAGCGAGCCCTCGTTCTACGGCGTCACCTCCAGCTCCCTCGTCAGCAACACCTCCAGCATATACTACGCCGACGCCGAGGATACGCACGAAGGTATAGTGTCTGTACTTAGCCGTTGTGGTGTCGAAGAGGGACATGGTGCACCTTGGAATGTCCCGGCAGTTGGCAGTGATGAAATTGCGTGAAATCCCCTACCTTCGCTCGTGGTTCATTCAAGGGGCACACTCGATTCCAACGCTTGGGGCCGCCTCGTCTTGTTTACAAAAATGGCGTGTTTGCTCTTGTGCGCTGGAAAAGAAATTTTGTTCTGTGATGGTTGATTGGCTGCGCTAATTCTTATTTTATTGGGGGGAAAACAATTATGCATTTTATCGTTTCATGTTGGAGTGGAGACCAAATATTCGTGTGTGCATATGAACTAGCTTAGGTAATCTATTTCTGTAATTATGGTATTATAGTTACAGTTTTGATTTTGGGAGATTGAATTATCAGAGCAATCGTGATAATGATATGGTAGTCGGCATTTGGTTACCCGTTTCATATCTGTTTTAGCGATTATGCGTGCCCTTAATTTCGGTTTGTATAACAGACATACCTCCACTGCGAGGAATACGCCAGCGTCATGTTATACAAAAGGGCGCCGAGTTTGATGAACACTTGACAGTTCACATTTTTGGTTAACTGACTGTTCGGTGCTTCTAACACACACACACACACACACACACACACACACACACACACACACACACACACACACACACACACACACGACACACACACACAGACAGAGAGAAGAGAGAGAGAAGAAGAGGAGAGGAGAAGAGAGAGAGAGAGAGAGAGAGAGAGAGAGAGAGAGAGAGAGAGAGAGAGAGAGAGCGCTTGTGTAGAATTACATTAATATTTGCGTAATCCATAATGTATGCGATATTTGTACATAT